TCCCTTAAGGCCTTCATGTTCACCAATCGGTTTAAAGGCTCGTTCTGATGCTCCAGGACTATTCTCATACTCCTCGGGTCGTTCGTGCCAAGCTCCTGTAAATAGTACGAGGGATTATTTAAAGGATTAGTGTTGGCAAAAATGTAGGAATTATGATAGTCCCTTATAACTGTGTGGCCCCAAGGGCCAGTGGCTAAATTAACTCCTGCTTGTTATCCTCCATACAGCCTTAAGTTTGAGCCTGCTTCTAAAGGATTCCTCTTAAGGATGCTGCTAATTTCCTTATTCCATCATATAAAGCCTGCATTATGAGTTGCTGTCTTTCCTTTTCCTTACATTCTGATGTTTTTAGGGATATAGCAAAGAGCCTCTAGTTTTCTTCTAATTGTTTATTTATTCAGTCTTGAATTTCTCATAGTACTTCTGTTACAAGACCTTTAGATATGATCGACAAGTTTGCCTGTCCACTTCTTGACTTTGACTCAGGGCTCGTGCTGCTGCTACTTGTCAACATTGGCATTATGTGCTCACAATCTTCAACTGTCTCAGCTTCAAGCATCAATTGTTCTGACCTTGTAAGTATATAGTTCCTTTTTGGTTTGTGAGAAACAACACATGTTTCATAAGTCCTTTTGTCCTTTCTTTTCCTTGCCATCTTTGTCACACAGGTCTTACCGAGCATGCCAAAAATTATTTATCGTGGAATAACAAATTATCAAGCACGCCAGAGACGCTAAGTCTCAATTGATAACAAAAGGATCCCGGGTTCCCTTACCATAGTTTACTTGAATGTAAAAGATATGCAAGACTTGGTAGAACAAGTGTTTTTGATTTGAAATGTAAAACGATTACAAGTCTAAATTGAAGATTAAGCTAATTAATAAACCTAAAAACTATGGGTGCATAATGTGAGTCTTTTGAGTGTCGATTGTTGTCTTCTTTTGTGCTTTAGTACTCTATTTATAGTGACAGAGTGATGGTAACCTCTTCCTTAAGACTTAGAACATTCTATTGAAGAATAGGGATCCCGCAAAACTCATGGCATAGTCTTTACTCATTGTCTTCTATTTTGGTAACCAGCTCGTTTCACCAAAATACTTGGGCGCAATGATGCTGCTCTCGTAAGATCTGAGATCATTTGAGATCGTGTTTTTATGTACCAACGGTCCAAGGTTTGCAATTGGCAGGATTTCAGCATGTTCATCCTGTTGTGGCTTTCCATTGTGTTTAAGCCGGCCTATTTGCTCAGATTATTGATTGGGCCTAACTCTTCAATCACTTAGCCCATATAACTTTATGACCTACCCAATGCTTGAGCGAAATTTTACATTTAGCCCAAATATAAATGTCCTTCATGATAATTTATATAGTTAAAATCAATTTCAATATCCAAACAGGATTGTATTATAACATAATCAATTATAATTAAAATTAATCATGTTAATCAATTAGTTTTTAATTAATTATATACAATTGAAATTCAAACGGATCTTTAGACTTATTTTTATGTTGTGTCGATCCAATTCCCGAGATAAGCAAAGTCTCCAAATCAACTTCAAATCTTCAACCTTTAATTTGATTTAGTCGCTCGCACCAAGTTTTCAGCCTACAGTACCATTTCAGCCCAAATAAGAAGCAATTTGATAAAGAAATATGATAAATATTTTTCTTGAAATTCATAAGTTTGCTTATGAAAAGAATATTAAAATGTATATTTATTCTTTTAACTTTACACAAATTTTTAATTTGGTCCCTTAATTTTATAAGGTATATTTTTAGTTCTTTAACCCTTAACACTAATTTCATCACCTAAAATTCTTACATTGAACTTTTAAATATTGATATATTAATTTTAATTTTTTAAAATAATAATGATTTGGAACAAAAAAATAATTTAAAACTTATGGTATTAGAATTAAAAACTTAAAATTATACTTTATAAAATTAAAAAATTAAATTAAAATTTTATATAAAATTAAAGGATCACAAATACAAGAACATGAGAGTTTCTCCAATAACCAAAAGGGTTAATAAACGGTCTTGGTTCAAACCCATTTCCCCTGCATCTTCTTGGAAAATACTACTTCAAACAATAATCGTGTCTTGAAAACCAGAAAAAAATACATTTGATTGAGTCAAAAAGAATTAGGAAAAGATAAATTTTCATTATTTCGTAGAAATTTCTCTCTACTTTCTTCTTTTGTTGGTAAAGGAAATTTTTAGTTAATTCAAACTAGGAACAGAAAAGAAGCTTTCTTGTATTATTTGGACATAAAGAGATCGCATCAGTGATAAGTAAAAAGTTCGTATTTCAAGAATTTTGAAGATTTCCTGAAAATTTTTAATTACATTAAACAATAAAAACCCAAAAAAGAAGAAGCAATGTTGACTTTTTTTTATAAAAAAAAAGAAGGTCAAATGAATATATTAACTAAAAACGTAAAAAATAGTTGTAAAACAGAGAGAAGAAAACATTAAAGGATAATTACAAAAGAAAAGGTGCTGCAACTGTAAAAGCAATGTTGACTTGACTTGGAGCAGAGTTGGCAACGAAAGTTTTTCTTTATTACGTGGAAATTTCTGCTTATTTTAAACAAAAAATTTCCACCGACAATTTCAACTCGCAATAAAATCAAGGGTCCAATGTCAATGCTCTGCTTTTATGACCAACACTACCTTCTGCTTCCCGGAAATATCTTTTTTTTTCCCTGGAAATTTCCTTGTTAACTTCAATTTGAACAAAGGCTCAAAATACACATACTCATTTTTCTGTTGTGTCGATCGAATTCCCAGGATAAGCAAACTCGCCAAATCAACTTCAAGTCTTCAACCTTAGATTTGATTTAGCCTTTCCCACCAAGGTATTGATTTGATCTTTCTTCTTCATTCTCTAACAACTTATACGCTATTCTTTCTTTCTTGTCTTTTTAAGGGAAAAAATAAATCGACAACCTATAAAACTTTGTTTTTGGTTTTCGGTGCCTCAGCAATGGCTGCGTTTGCTTCTGCTTCTGCTTCTGCTTCTTCTTCCCAAGTGAAATATGATGTTTTCATCAGCTTTAGAGGTTCAGACATCAGATCTGGTTTTCTCAGCCATTTGAAAAGGGAGCTGCGTCGAAAGCAGGTAAACGTCTATGTGGATGACAGGCTGGAGAGAGGAGATGAAATATCGTCTGCACTTGACGAAGCCATAGAAAGATCAATGATTGCATTGGTGATATTCTCTAAAGATTATGCTTCTTCAAAGTGGTGCTTGCAAGAGCTTGTCAAAATCATGGAACGCAAGGAAGCGAGTCAACAAATTGTGATTCCAATTTTTACGACGTACTTCCAACAGATGTCAGGCATCAAACAGGCTTTTATGCCAAATCATTTAATGATCATGAACAGACGTTCAAGGATAACATGGACAAGTTGAAAATTTGGAGATCTGTCTTGACGAAAACCGCAAACTTATCTGGTCATCCCTTACCAAATTTTCAGTAAGTTTGTTTTCACAATTCAATACATCATTTTATAGACCTCACAGTGATTTAGAATATGCTAAAGTTATCTCAAATCATGTCTATGAATTTATTATTGTTATCACAAGTAGCTTGTAATTTTGTTTCTTTTTTCTTTTTATAATATGCTAGAGACGAATCCGAGCTCATTGATGCAATAGTCACGGATGTCCTAAAAAAGTTGAAAGTTGACAACCATTCTGTGCCTACATCCCAACTTGTTGGATCACATGAAAATCTCACTTGTGTTGAATCATTGATGGAAATTAATAAGTCGCAAGAGGTTCGATTTATTGGAATTTGGGGAATGGGAGGGATAGGCAAAACAACCCTTGCTCGAGAGATATATAACAAATTTTTGTCTGAATTTGAAAATCATTGCTTCTTAGAAAAAGTGAGAGAAGAATCAACAGGGATTACTGGTCTGTATGGAAAACTTCTTGATCAGCTATTTGGTGAAAAGGATCTCCACAAAAATATGAATGATGCAAAGAGAAGGCTGCAACGAGTAAAAGCCTTAATTGTGCTTGATGATGTGGACAATCCAAAACAACTAAAAGATCAAGCTGGACAAAAACTTCAGTTGGGATCGGGCAGCAGAGTCATTGTAACAAGTAGAGACAAGCATGTTCTTAAGAGTGGACGGATTGATGAAAAATATATACATGAAGTCAAGGGATTGGAATTTGATGAATCACTTGAACTTTTTAGTTCACATGCTTTTGATCAAAGTCATCCCAAAGTGGGATATGAAGAGCTATCAAAAATGACAGTTTGCTTGGCTAACGGCAATCCTTTGGCTTTAGAAGTTTTGGGTTCACATTTTCATTCTACAAATGAAGTATATTGGAAGAGTGAGCTTGACAAATTCAAAACTTGCCCCCATCCAGGAATTCAAAATATATTGAGGGTTAGTTATAATGGATTAGATGACATGGATAAGGAATTTTTTAGACATTGTATTTTTTTTCATTAGAGGAGAAGAATTTGCCTTTACTTCGTTGCCAGAGGCTTGTGGTTTCAAAGCAGTTAGTGGCATTGAAAATCTCATAAATAAAGCTCTCATGAAACAGGATATGGTGGAATTGTAATGCATGATTTGATTCAAGAAATGGTCAGCAAATAGTTCGTGAGAAATGTCCAAAACATCCTGAATTACGCAGCCGATTAAATGATGCGGATGAAATTTGTGATGTATTGGAAAGGAACATGGTAAGCAAAATATATATATATATATATATATATCATTTTTATTTTTGGAATAATTTTTTAAATAATTAAAATTATTTTTATTTTGTTTTGTTTAGGGAACTGATAAAATTGAAGGCATCATATTGGATCAGGATAGAATAAAAACAATTACGATTGAGCCCTAATACCTTCACAAAGATGAAAAATTTAAGGATTCTTAAAATTTTTGCTCCTAGAATTCGGTATTGGGATTTCTACCGTCCTAATGAGACAATAATGTAGAGCTTCCTTCTGATCTTGGCTTTTCCTAATAAATTAAGGTATTTCATTGGGATCGATATCCGTTAGACTTTATTGCCATTAAAAGGCTATTGTTTTGAGAACCTTGTTGAACTATGCATGCAACAGAGCAATATTAAAAAGCTTTGGGATGGAGTGCAGGTACTTTACTAATTAATATGTGCCTCTTTCCCTTTAATTTAATTAAATCATTACGCTCTTTATGTGTAAAATTTTTTTGTTTTCATTGTCACAGGATCTTGTGAATTTGAAGACATTAAATTTGTGTGAGTCCAAACAATTGACGGAGCTGCCTGATTTTTCTAGGGCACCTAATCTTGAAGAAGTACATCTCTATAAATGTCTAAGTTTACATAGTGTTCATCCATCCATTTTATCTTGCCAATCTCTTCTTACATTGGATGTCTCTGATTGCGAGAAATTAGAGAGTCTTGAAAGTGAGACTCATTTAGAATCTCTCTCTTACCTTTATGTTGAAGGTTGTCATAGCCTCACAAAATTCTGTTTGTCATCAGAGAAATTGGAAAGCATAGATTTAGTATATTGCGGGAACGTCGAAAAATTGCAAGTGCTGCCAATGGGAGGTTTCACGAAACTCAGAAGGCTTGTTATTGAAGAAGGTGAAAGATTAAGGAGCCTTCCAATAAGAGAGCTATGTGGCTTGACAAATCTTGAGGAATTTAAAATTAGGAATTTCCAGCAGGAAATTAACACAGGGGAGATGCGCTCCCTTTTTGATGCTTGGCACAATTTAAAAAAAACTATGTTTGGATAGTTGGAGTAAATTGTCGGAAATCCCTGACAATATCAAGGCCTTATCAAGCTTGAAACACATTTTCTTGAAAAACTGCCAGGGGCTTAAGTCTATACTTGGACTTCCTCCCTTCCTTCAAGAATTAGATGCTAGAGATTGCACTTCATTGGAGATTGTATTCTCCGACTCTCTAGTTCGGAATTGGTGCCAATTTGATTTCAAAAATTGTATAAAGTTGAAAGAGGATTCGATTCGCTTTATTGAGGAACTACTAACTCATTTCTCTTTGACTTCAACATGTAAGGATGGTTTGTTATATGGTGCTGGAGCTCGTTACCCAGGAAGCAGAGTTCCAGAGTGGATTGAATATAAACAAATCACAGAGCCTTCCAATGCTATCGAATTCACTTGCAATCTTGAACGATCACCCCAATTATTGCTCTGCTGTGTTGTTCCTCATCATATTTATGACTTTTTCTATGATTTTTCTTTTGATGATAAGAGCACATTCCGCAGGACATCTTATGTTGGTTTGCGATGACGAAGACATGTATTCTGAAGAAACGAATTCGGATCATGTTGTTCTATGGCACATGGAAAGGGATTCATTTGGTGATGAAAAAGGTAATGATGCCAATATTTCATGTAAATTCTATACGAAATGTTGGAATGGTGATAGTCATCGTTTAGAGAAAGTTCCGATTAAAGCATGTGGAGTGCACGTAACATATATGTCAGAGTCGGACTCAACTGAAGAAAGACTCCCTCCAACAAAGAAACAAAAAACTTTTTAGGTGTCTTCCGACCAGCCAACTGAATCCAACAAATCAATCTCAAGATGACATCATCTGTCATCCCTTGCAACTGAAATTTATACGCAAGGGCAAACAAAAGCGCCTCCCATACATACAGTTTCTTTGATATATCTTTACAGGATCTCTCCCTTCTTTGCTTTTTAATTATAGGCTCACCTTCACTACTATTATCTTAATTAAAAATCACTCTTGATTAAAAAAAAAATAATTAGATATTTTTTCTTTGCTTAGATATACTAAATTAAAGTAGTAAAATTTTCTACAATATTGTATTTATTTATTTCAATATTTATACCCTATTGAAAAAATAAGTATGCCCCTTTTTCCCAAATTTCGTCCATTTTTTATTTTTTAAATAATTCTTTCACATATATATATTATTTATTATTTCTCTACATATTTTGTGCAGTATAGTACTTCAACATGTATAATAGCTATTGTAAATTATACCGACAACCCATACAAAACAAATATATACATATACATATATATATATATATATGTATAGTATTATATATATATATATATTTGTTGGAGACAGATATATAATTTTTTTTAAAAGAGTTTACTTTTGCCATCCACTTTTTTTTTTAATTTATTGATTGAGCCTGTATTTACATTTTATTTGTGAGAATAATAGATTATGAATCACCAAATTGTTCTATATAATTTTAATATGCACCTGATGACAGATTCTAAAGTAATTTATGTGATTACAAAAAAGGTTATTTTTGGAATAAAATAAATTGTTGTTTATTTATAGTATGTGAAACTTTTGTGAAATTAATGAAGCTATTTACAGATGAAAACTTTTTACAACTTTTGAAAATTACCTTCAATCAAATTAAATCCGTTAGTTAAACCACAAGTGAAATAAACAAAGGCATTTTTGATGATATGATTCAAATGCTTCATTTAATTCTGTAAAACTCTTGTATTAACAATTTAGAGGTAAGTGCATCTTCTGGCCAAAGAAAAAAGAAAACAACACTTATAGGTAAGATCTTGTAAATAGGATTGGAGGAAGTAAAAGAGCAAAACATAAAGCTTGTTGATGGTATTTGATGGTATTTTAATTTATGTAAGATACGAAGGCTTAACAGACCACCCTAAGCTGAGCTCAAACTGGTTTGTTCGTTATCATCTCTTCTATGAGGGTACATATTAGCTCTTTGTGACTAATAAATAAATCTTCATTTTGTATGGTGTAATTTTGCTAGCTTGCTCTGTTTTGATAAGGTTGTTAGTCTGAGCATGATTGAGAGTTTGTAAATGACTTCTGAAACTTTATGATTTTTGTTATTTAACATGTTTTGAATATTCTATTTCGTGGCATGATTGAGATTTTGTCCCTGTGCTAATTTGTTTCGCTGTTTCCCCTAACATGTGAGAATAAATTTGTGCTCATTCTATTCAATATGCCTAAAATTTCAATCATTCTTTTGCATATTGTAAAGTGTAATAATGAAATTTTTAGTACTTCAAGTTTGTCTTGGTATTAATTTGGTCCTTCAAATTTATTTTTTATCAATTTGATCATTTAAAGTTGCCTTGATTATTAATTTGGTCTTTATTGTTTAAATGGGGGGCAACACTATAAAACTCTGCTAACATGGATAACCAAATACTAATAGTAGCAATGTCTATTAATAAAAAGAAATATAATTTTTTAGGTAGAAAAAATACACTCATGAATTTTAAAAAACAAAAGAATGAAATGTAGTGTAAGGGACTATATTAATTAATAAAATTTAACTAATTTGAGGCCTAATTTGTTTTCATTTAGTTATATATACATATCAAGTTATCAAAATACTTTACATATTATATTAATTTAAGATAAATTTGTATTTTGAAACTTAAGAGACTAATAAAATGATAATTTAAGAAACAGTAAAGGACTAAATAAATAATTAAACTAGAAAAATCAAATCGATACTGAGACAAATTTAAAGGATTAAAAATTTTATTATCCCTTTTAACTTTTGTCCCCGCTTTGATTATCATGAAGGAAGTTTCAAAACATTTATTTTGCTCCTCATCCCTACCTTGATATACTGTTTAATGCCTTTTTTTCCCCGGTCCAGCAATGCATTGCTGTCAACTTCCTTGAATCCTTGTTTGTTGATCAATTTGTGTGGCTTGGCATATCTTCTTGCATCTACCTGGTAAGAATCATAACGTTTCCCTAATGTTTGAGTTTGTTCTTGGAATTATCAATGTGAAGCTTTCACTCAGTAATTGAGTTAGAGGATAGAAATAGGAATTTAATTACTCAATAAAGTGAACTCAAGCTTTGAACTTATATTTTTCATCCACACTAACAGAGGGACTTTGCGATGGTCATGTTATTAATTTATTGTGATTTAAGTGGGGAGCATTTCATCAATTTTTATTTTTTTTTTTTGCCCCTGACATGGATATATTTAGTTTGTACAATGCAGTTGCTTCGCGTCCGAAGAGCAAGCCCAAAATACAGTAGTGAAGAGTCTCTCTGTTGATGATCATTGAAGTGTCTTTGACATGTGAATCATATGTAGCAGTAGTACCATTATTGTGACATTTTTATGTTTAATTTCCTTATAGTAGCAACATCATCGTCACTTTTACTTAACTAGCCATTGGCTGCGTGTGAGCATTGTATAGTAGTTTTATATGGAACAAACCAGTATTTCATTCATTTATTTATATATCATAGCAGTACATAACTCTATCATGTATACATACAAGGGCCTTGAATCTGACGCACAAATTGCCAACAAAGGAGTTGAAGGTGCATTTTCTTGCTCCCTAAATTGGTCCAAAATTGCACTCCTAGTTACTGTTGATGTCTTCCTCTCTACTTAGGCTCTTCATGTATCCATTTGAGGTTGTCTAGGTTAGAATAAGCCCATTTACTTGTGCATATCATATCAGTGTTTTGGGCCTTTCAATATTGTAGATATGGACTCGTAATGGATCATTTAGCCTTTTGATTCTTTCTCTTGTTATTGGGCTCTCCAATAAGTAACTAATAAGAGTGAGTCTACTAGGAAGATTTATCTTTCAAAACATGACAAATTAAAGTCTAAATTCATATTAAGAGAGATGCCCATAATTAATATTCGATCATGTCTTAAATAAAATTGCCTTCAATAGAAAAACACTTGTATGCAATAAGAAAAATTGTCCACTGTAGTCTACTAGCTCATGAGTATTTGGCTGCATCGAAGAATTTATGGTTCTAAATAGTTCCATATGCACAAAAAATAGACTTACAAACAACTAAGAAATGCTTGCATAGAAAAAGAGGAAGATTTAGGTATTTAGTTTTATATACACAATATATTTTTGTCTAATTAAATCAAAATATGTGGATTTTAATTAAAATGTTAATAATATTATTGACAGAGTTTAATGCAGACCAGTATTTCATTTCTTTCATGTATTAATATATTTGTGGAGGGACTTGAATCTGACGCATAAAGAGGCAAGATTGCTACTATATTTCCTATGAATAAGCTACAATATAACAGAAAAGATCAATCCAAATTATTACAAGGAATATTTACAATAATGCTAGTTGATTATACTCGATCCACTTCAATTGGATCATTAATATAAATAATGTATGACTTGTTAATGCTATCTTCAAAATTTTGCCTTGTAACTGTGTACAGCTACTGGTTCACCAAACGTTGTGTACAAAATCCAATTTCCTGGAAGCAACATTTGTTTTCATTTGCAAAAACCGCGTTTTGGGATGATATTCTAATTTTTTTTTTTTATAAAAAAAAAATCAGTGTTGAACACCAAAACAAGGATATATCATTGGGTTCATTGAAGGTCAATTGGGCACCCGCTAAGCCTCTTAGTAAGTATATAAGCTATTTGGTGTTTGTTAGGAATATGGGACGATGATACAATTAATTCCTACTTTCACTTACTCTATGAGAAAATGACAGTCCAGAGTGATCCCTTAGAAAAACCATCTTCTAGGCAAAGATTGGCAAGTTGAAGCCTCACACATCTTCCAAAAGGGATTTCTGGCTTCTTATGCCCTGATGTTGAACACGGGATTCCATATATTGGCTTAGCCATCCACTACTAAAAAGTCAATTTAGCGAGGGATGAATGCCTCAATCCCTCACTAAATGACTTCTATCCTTTACTAATTCATTGCAAAAAACAAACTAGCGAGGGAATGCAGTTTCTTGCTAAATTTAACAACCATAATTTATTGCTAATCCTTTGCTAACTTGAAAAAATTGCCCACTTTAGCTAGAGATTATCAAGGACATGCATTCCTCACAAAATTAGCCAGGGACATCGTCCTAGCTATTCTCTTGCTAAAATAACCAATCTTTTAACTATGATTTGTGAGGGATATGTCCATCGCAAATTTTAGGGAGGAATTGAATCCCTCACTAAAACTTTGATATTTTTTTAAAAAATCCCTAGCTAATCCTTCATTAAATAATTAATTAATTTAACAAATCCTTTGTAAATTTGCAAATTTTGACATTGTGATTCTTATATAGCTACAACTAATCATCCATTCAAATTTCTAATCACATCTACAATCACATTAATATAACAAAAGTTCAATACTGCATCAATTATGATTATAAAGTTCAAACCATTTCATACATAGAATTGAACAAAATGTAAAGGAGTACATGTATAGAAAGTTCAAGGCACTTCATACAAAAGTTATTTTGGACAATCATGACTAGAATCTTGTTGTCTAGAGAAATCTGAACTATTAGCATTTTATTGTGAAGCTGAGACCCTTTCACCCAAAAATTTGAATGGCCCCGAATATGTCTTACTCTAATATCTTCATTGTGAAGCTGAGACCCTTTCACCAAAATTGAATGGCCCCGAATATGTCTTACTCTAATATCTTCAAAGGCATGTCTAATCATCTTTGCTTCATTTATGATGTAATCTCTGCAACAACTAGTTTAAAGACATTGTCAAAAAACTAAATTAATCACACAGATAAATAGCTTCAAAAATAAAAATTGATGGTTTTTAGTGATTCCACCCACCTTAGTGATTCTAAAAATTAATATATGCATGCAAAGTGACTACTCGATGCCTGGCGTTATAAAAGGCCTGTTTAAAGTGTCCTAAATAAAAGAAACTTCCTGACTAATTAAATGCAAATATAGTTACTTTTATTTAGGAAAAAGTTATACATATTAGAGGAAAATGCGCCTGCTGATATGCATGTGCAGCAAGAAGTGATCTGATGTATATTTGTTTCACATTTAACCCGTCGTGAAGGATGACGTGATTACTAATCAGCACTCAAAATAGATGTCATTAGTTGTAACTTGTGATTATCATAACAGCTTGTGAACTCAGCTCTGTAATTTCTGTTTTATTTCCCCCATCTTTTAGTTAAAAAAAAAAAAAAGAACATGGCACTAAGAACATTACAGGGTACATAAAACATAATAATTTATACAGGGGGGAAAAAAGAAAACCTCTTAACAGATATACTCAGTTATGAAAAAAGGAACTTTCTGCATACCTTTTTTCTGCCAACAAAGCAAAGATCTTTCAATATCGTTAAAAACCAAGAGAAAGATGAATACATAAACACTGTTCAGAATGAAGTCTAGTAACCAAACAGAAATATAAAACTGAAAAAAAGAAAAAAAAAACAAACAAGCTATCCTCCATCTGAACTATAGCTCGAAAGATCAGCAGCAAGCAGATTTTGAAGAGTAATTAAACATAAAATAAATGCAAGACTTGCTAGATAAACTAAATCAAAAGAATAAGTAAATGTAAAATTCAAAACAAACTCACACACTATTGGAATCCCTTCCTCCACAGAGTAGAAGCCCATCAGAGCATGCACTAGTAGTTGCTACCTACTCAAAAAACAAATGGAAACATGAAATTCAACCCCACATCTCAAATAAATTTCAAGTACTATATTATAGCCAACGGATATCATTACAAGAGTAGTTTTAGTAATTATAGCCAGCAAAAACACTACAAGTCTCAGCATTTAGACAAAAATTTAGAACATGGAAATGTCATGTACATGTAGTTTCCTGCCTCACCAGAGATATGACCAGCAAGCATTAGATTATACAGCTTGCTCTCAATAATGGAACGAAACCCAAAAAAAGTATGCATCTTGAAATCATCATATATAAATAGGAACCTTCAGAGAATACTCTAAGGACCAAGTTCACCTTTAAGGATAGCAAACCATCAAGAATTCAATTTGTCTCTTCTGTCTATACAAAGGTCCACACAACTTTGAGCCTCAGATGCAAGCTGTTAGAAGCCAAGAACGCAAGTCAGGAGAGGCAGCATCAACATATAAGCTTTCCTGCATAAAGATAGAAATTCAGCAAGAGATTAATCACAAGAAAAATTCGAATCACATAAGCAAAATTAAATAAAAAATGCAAACATAGAACTAGAGGACTGTAAGAATATGTGATAAATATTTAGTTAGTTGCTTAAATTGTAAATTAATTATTATCTTCAGAGTTAGTTATTCAAACAAGTTATTATATTTAGTTATTATCTCATCAAAATAGTTATTTATTATTTAACAAGGATAGGGACACACACATTCAAAGACTTCTTTTATCTAGTCTCTCTTGAATTTTACGAGAACAAAACACATATAAGTAGTACAAACACTTCAAAGTTATATTTAGGAGAAAATCAGACCCCCAATCACAACTTTGTAACACGTATCCTTACCAGGTTATGAGCTTCATCAAATACGAGTATGCTATAATCCCAAAAAATATTCAGAGATTCTCTATACCCATGATCAATAAGATAGTTGCATGATGCTAACACCATATCGACAGCCTTGTGAAGTTCTTTTGACAAGTACAGAGACACCTGAGGTAAAGACAAGCCATGTGAAACATATGAGAGTCCAAGCACTTGACAATTTCAATTGGTTGAAAGAAAAAGAAAAAGCAAAGTGGCATTAAACAATCAAATTCAAATGTTGTGATTTCATAGGGAAAAAAAATTAAGCACGACAGCAAGAACCCTACGGCTCAAATCTTTTTCCAGTGTTCACCAAATCCTCAATATCTATAGGTTCTTCTCCAAGATGGGGATTCCCTTTGTGTATTCTTGAACAAGATTAAAATTACAATCTCAGGTTAGTCTATATCTAAATGTCGATGCTAAAGCATACTAAAATGCACAAACACATACACGATATTATGATCAAAATCATTATCCTAAAATTTTGAAACACCAACATAAAAATAGCTATCGTATGTTTAAAATATATGCAAAGCTTAGAAGACGTGAGAGGAGTTTATTAGGTAAAGGTTAAGGCACTAAAAAAGCACAGGCAAAAGGAGAGGATTATACTTCACCCCAGATAGATCAAGATTCAAGAACAGCTACAGTTAGCAAAAACTACGCTCGACTTTTTGGTTGTAAATGAAAACATCATATAGTGACTATTTTACAAATAGCAAAAGCATCATATAGATCACAATGAAAAGCCAACTAACCTTGAGCAGAAGCTTCCCTGTCCCAAATACAAACCTTGTGCAGACTGAATCGGGAAGGCTTGAGACAACGTAACACACAGTAAAAAAAAAAAAAAGATAGGAAGAACGAATCAAGGGGGAAAGGAACGAAAGAATAAGAAAATATGTGAGTACGGTTTGACGAGGGAGGTGGGAAATGGAGAACGGAAGAGTGTGAGAGGTTACAAGAAAGCATACCGAGTTGGGGTTTTGTGTTGAGAATGTCGTTGTAAGAAACCGATGAGAAGGCCATTGCAAGGGGAGGAACCGAGGAGATTGTCGTTGCAGAGAAGGAATCGAGGAGAAACAGCGTCGCTAAAGGCCCAAGAGCGGCTGAACCAAAGAGACTGCAAGAAGTAAAAGAGTAACAGTGTATTTGGTTCAAGAGGGAGAGGGTATGAATTTTAATCAACTTTTGTTTAATTTAAGAAGAGCGAGAATTAATAACAATTTAATGA